CTAGTTAGCAAGACATACTACTGGACACAAAACAAGTAACTAAAACCATTGATTAATCTTAAAGCAACTTTTACCAAGGGGTTGTATGGTCCAGAAAAAATAAGAGAAATAATACTTACCTATAAATATTTAATGAAATTTTATATGATGCACTTATATGGTGCATATACATACACACATTCATGCATACTTCCAAAGGTCAGAAAATTGTTTGCAATTTATGTCTTAATTCTGATCTCACTACTAACTAGTTGTATTTAGTTAGAAATATATGGAATATAGTTCTACATATTCTACATGTTCTCTGTAGGATATATTTTTTACATATCAGGAAAAATATATACCACACAAGAGTCTAATGAAAAACTAGGGTATTATAAGCAAAAGGATTAAATTTCTTTGCCATATAATTTCAAATTTTTATATGAGTATTGCTATTTTATATTTATGAAAGCAATTTTACAAAAATAATGACATCAAAACCAAGTTTACAATATACTGCATACTGCAAAAGAATATAAAAAATTGCAGGGATAGTTATCTATAAAACACTGTCACATATAATATCTTACTGATGTTTCACAACAGCCTAGAGAGGTAGTTGTTGTTATTATGTAATTCTCACTCTAGAGACACATCAACTGAGATTTTGAGAGATTAAATGACTCATCAAGGTCATCCAGGTAATAATGTCAAGGCAATCAAATTCAGGTTTGATTGGGCTTTCAAATCAAAATATCTACAATACAGTGAAAAGCAATTGCTCGTTCCAGCCAAGAACTGGGACTACTCAGAAAGGTGTTTATGTCTAAATACTAGTTAACAAAAAGAAATTTTTAAAGAGCAATAGTAGCAGCAGTAAAGGTAGCTTTCAAGTTCTGTACCTATTAGGCAAAAAGAAAATATAACACCCCAGCAAACTATATATTTTCATTTTTCTCTAGTCACTTTCTACCATAAAAGTAATATATCTAGGAGAAAGGAATTACAAATTCCCTAAACTCTGTTAATCTTTATGATCTGTGGATTGAGGTTTAATACATATTAATATTTTATTAAAGTACTTAGGTCTCACCTTCACAAAATAAAAGGTACATGTCTTAAAAGAATAATCACCACTTAAATGTAGAATTTTCTCCATAACAAACTAAACCTATTATCAAAATGTAGTCTCTCCCCACTTAGAAAAATCCAGCTTTTAATTTATAGTGGTCATGAAATGGGCATCCGCCTGAGTTAGAGTTCATTGTATGTCTCTGACCCCCACAATCTTAAGGACAAGCTTTGATTTACATTACAATTAAGAATATGCCTCAAGATATTGTACAAGAAATTAATGTTTGGCTTTGGTATTCTTGTGGCTTATAGCAATACTGTAGTTGGTAGCATAAACCAGGAAACCTACTAAACAGCACATCCAATTTGTCTGTGGTTCCATTGCCCTCTAGTGGCTATTTTGAAAATAGTTATTAATAGCCTTCGAAAGTCAGCAGTGATTCCAAAGCAGGATGGGCAGACCAGCAGCATCGGCAACATCCAGGGACTTCTTAGACAAAGAAATTATAGGCCCCACCTAACGTTTACTGAAAGGAAACTGTGGATGGAAATATAATAGATCCTTCTGATAATTCTGATGCACACCAAGAATTTGAGAGCCACTAGAGTAAGGAAAGCCTTCTATTTGTATTTCAGGTAGATATGAAAGTATTTGGTTGTATGTGCCTTAACTTTATGTGTCAGCCTGACTGGGCTAAGGGACACCCAGATAGTTGGTAAGCATTATATCTGAATGTGTCTATGAGAGTGTTTTTTCTCAGATTAGCATCTGAATTGGTAAACTAAGTGAAGCAAATGCCCTCCCAAGTATGGGTGATGTACAACCTGTTGAGGGCTTAAATAGAACAAAAAATGCAGAGAAAGTGCAAAATAGCTCTGTCTGTGTGCACTAAGACATCCATCTTCCCCTGTCCTCAGACATGGGTGCTTCTGGTTCTCAAGCTTTCAGATTCAGAGAACACACACCATTAGCCCCACGATTCCCAGGCCTTCAGACCTAAACTGAATTACACCATAGGTTTCCATGGTTCTCCCCTTGCAGACAGAAGATTGTGGGACTTTTCAGCCTCCATAACCACTTGAGCCAATTCCTATAATAAATATCCTCTTATGTATCTCTAGATACATAGATAATATAGGTAGATATAAAGATATAGATATAGGTAGGTATAGATATATAATTTGTTCTGTTTCTCTGGAGAATCCTGACTAGTACATGACAATACATATGAGTTTTCTTTCTGATACTATTGCTCATAATTATTCCCATGCTTTTCTTAAACTTCAAAAGGCCTCTAATATGTGCAGAATAATATAGAAAAAGCATACAATTAGTTGGGGAGATTTAAAAGTGCTAAATACCTATGACTGAATGATATAGAAAAAAATACAATGGATAAAAGTTAATTCATTACTTTTATGAAAATATTCTTTTTAAAAATTTTTATTGTATTTTTCCATTTTGCTTCCTTATATGCCCCTCCCACCACAATCACCATACTGTTGTCCACGTCCATGAACGTTTTTTCCTTTTTGCTTGATCCCTCCATCTCCTACTCGCAGCATATCTGTCATCCTGCTCTGAGTCTGTCTCTATTTTGCTTGTTCATTTTATTCATTAGATTCAATATATGAGTAAAACCGTATGGTATTTGTATTTCTCTGACTGGCTTATTTCACTTAGCATGTTCTCCAGGTCCATTCATGCTATCACAAAGGTTAAAATTTTCTTTTTTACAGTCAAGTAGTATTCCATTGTATAAATGTCCTATAGTTGTTTTATATACTCATATAGTTGATGGACACTTGGGCCACTTCCATATCTTGACAATTGTAAACAACACTGCAGTGAACATAAGGGTGCTTATGTTCTTTTGAATTAGTGTTTTATGTTTCTTCAGGTATATTCCCAGAAGTGGGATCACTGGATCAAAAAGTAAATCCATTTTGAATTTTTTGAAGTATCTCCACACTGCTTTTCATAGCGGTTGCACCAATCTGCATTCCACCAAAAGTGCAATTTCTCCACATCCTCACCAGCGCTTGTTTGTTGATTTATTGATGATAGCCATTCTGACAGATGTGAGGTTTTATCTCATTGTGGTTTAAATTTGCATTTCTCTGATAATTAGTGATGTTGAACATCTTTTCTTACATCTATTGGCCTTTGTATGTCCTCTTTGGAGAAGTGTCTGTTCAGGTCCGTTGGAGAAGTATCTTTTTAATTGGATTGTTTTTTAGTGTTGAGCTTTGTAAGTTCTTTATAAATTTTGGATATTAACCCCTTATCGGATATATCATCAAATATGTTTTCCCATTCCGTGGGTTGTCTTTTTATTTTGTTCATTGTATCCTTTGCTGAGGGATTCCTTTGCTGTGTAAAAAATGCTTTAGTTTGATGTAGTCCCATTGTTTATTTTTTCTTTTGTTCACTTTACCTGGGGAGATATATCAGACAAAATATTGCTAGGAGCAATGTCCAAGATTGTACTGCCTATGTTTTTTCTTCTAGGATGTTTATGGTCACAGGTCTAATATTTAAGTCTTTAATCCATTTTCAAACTATTCCTGTGTGTGATGTAAGAAAGTGGTCTAGTTTCACTTTTCTGCACTTATCTGTCCAGTTTTTCCAACACCATTTATTGAATAAACTATCTTTGACCCATTGTATAAGCTTACTTTCTCTGTTAAATATTAATTGCCTATAAAGGTATGGGTTTATTTCTGGGCTCTCTATTCTATTCCATTGAGCTGTGTGTCTGTTTTTATGCCACTACCATGCTGTTTTGATGGCCTTATAGTATAGTTTGACACTAGGTAGTGTTGATTCCTCTAACTTTGTTTTTCTTTCTCAAGATCATTGTTGCTATGCAGGGCCTTTTGTGGGTTCATATAAATTTCTGAAATATTTGTTCTAGTTCTATGAAATATGTCATTGGAATATTGATAGGAATTGCATTGAATTATGGATTGCTTTGGGTAGCATGGATATTTTAATGATGTTAACTCTTCCTATCCGTGAACACTGTATGTGCTTCCACTTATCTGTATCTTCAATTTCTTTCTTCGGTGTCTTGTAATTTTCTGAGTACAGGTCTTCTACATCCTTGGGGAGAATTATTCCTAGGTATTTTATTCTTTCTGAAGCAATTGTGAATTGGGTTGTCTTCTTAATTTCCCTGTTAGTTCATTATTAGCATATATATACACATATATATGACTGAATGAAACAGAAAAAATAACATGAATAAAAGTAAATTCATTAGATATTAAACATTCATTTAAGAGCTTGCTAACTAGCCAAACATCTGAGCAGAATCTACCCATTAGTTTCTTGGCTATAAATCAATGGAAAAATGTTCGTTGAATGGAATGACTATTCAATCCAGGCTTGTGTGGGACATTTAATATTCAAGTTCATTAGTATATGTATATAGTTTTGGGGTTTTTTTTTAAGATCTTATTTATTTATTTTTAGGGAGGGAAGGGAGGGGGAGGGGGGGAGAGAGAGAGAGAGAGAGAGAGAGAAACATCAATGTGCGGTTGCTGGGGGTTATGGCCTGCAACTCAGGAATGTACCCTGGCTGGGAATTGAACCTGGGACACTTTGGTTCCCAGCCCACGCTCAATCCACTGATCTATGCCAGCCAGGGTCAGCATATGTATATAGTTTTATAACAATTTTTCCCATTATACAAATTGCTACTTCCATGTTCATTATATCATTATTCATAATAACCAGGAGGTGGAAGCAACCCAATAATGTATAAATAGAGAAAATGTGAAATAGAGAAAATAGAGAAAACATACAATATAATATTATTCAGCCTCAAAGAAAATGGTAATCTGGTCACATGCCACAATATAAATGAATCTTGAGAACATCATGCTAAGTGAAATAAGCCAGGCACAGAAAGACAAATTCTTTTTTTTATCTTCTTAATCTTAATTTATTTTGTTCTTATTTGGGCAGCTATATATCTACCATTTAAAAACCACAACAACATAAGCACAAGATGAAAAGGCAGAAATCAGTGAGGTATAACTGAAAACTAGTGTAGTCCCATGGAAAAAAGGAAATGGGGAGCTTCATCCATAAAGGATATATTAGATTTATGAAGTCATTAAAAATGGTTAGTTCACACAGCTCTCAAGGATGTTTCAAATGAAAATTTCAGATTCTGGCTTTCATGGAACTATAGCAAAAGGAACTAAAATTTGTATTGCAGTAATCCTTTCTCCACCCCCAACATTGCCAAAATTATCTAACCTTTTTAAACGATGGTTTATTGGAAATGATGTTGGAATAATGGGCAGGTCACCTGGGATCCAGTCCCAACTAGCTACTAACTATAAAGACCTGGAGCTTGTTTCCTCCTGAGGCTCATGTCCCTCATCTGTAAAACAGAGAAATGGGGCTCTGAGAAAGACAAATTCTGTATGATTCCACTTATACAGCGTATCTAAAGTAGTCAAAATCATAGCAACAAAAAATAGAGTTGTGATTGCCAGGTTGTAAAAAGGCAGGGAAATGGAAAGTTGTTGTTCAGTGGGAACAGAGTCTCAGTTTTGTAAGATGTAAAAGTTACAGAGATGCATAACAAGGTGAATACAGTTATCAATGCTGAACTATACACTGAAAAATGGTTAAAAATGGTAAATTTTATATTTTGTCTTTTTCCTCCTCCCCTCCTTTCCCTTTTCCTCAACTCAGTCTGTTTCCAACTCAATATATGCACCAAATCAAGGAAAATACAGAAGAAAAGAATGAGTGTTCTGCTCACTTCCCTTTGCAGTTCTCCACAATAAATTCCTCATTTTACTTCAGGAAAATGGACAGATCATTGAAAGAAAGCTCAATTCCGGCCTTCTAATTATGGGAGCTAGACTATGTCTTCCAATTCAGGCTCAGAATGGGTACTCTGCCAGACAATAGGCAAATATATCTAAGTTCTTAGGATCTTCAAAACCAAATGAGAAATTAATTTAAATAATAAAAATATTAATATGCTCTCACATTCATAAATAACATGCCATTACTGATCTCAAGTTAAAGAAAGCAAAACTAAGAAAAAATACACACATATACACATTTCCTTTACTAATCAATGAAACAAAACATAAGAACAAAACATAATGAAACAAAACATAAGAACAAAACATAATGAAACAAAACATAAGAAAATAAATAGCTTATTCCATTAGGAAATACTTCATTCTACAATCTGTTTGAGCTGGTTTTCCATCAATTTCATCAGGTTTCATTTCTGCACTTCTATTTGGATGCAAAGTCCCATAATAAACAATAAGAAGAAGAACTCCAAGGAAAAGAGTAAGAGCTATAATAATGCTGATAGGTATAAAATAGTCTGAATTAAAAATTGAAAGTGGGCACAGCCACAACACAATCAATATCCCGAATGTTGCAAGTACCCTTACAACATAATAACAAGACATTGGACATTTGGTATTCTGTCCCTTAATATTAAAAAATGTAAAAATGAGAATAAATCCAACAACAATCCTGTATAAGAACTCCATAATCATGGAAACACAAAACTGAGTTTGTTTTTTAAATGCCCACAATATACCTAAAAACCAAAGAAATAACAACAGACATAAAGCAATCTTAACATTTAAGAAAAAAAGAAGTACGACACTCAGCATCCAAGATAATAATGTAAACAACTTATAAAAGAGATATGTGAGTTTGGGACAGAGCCCATTAAGGAGATTTTTATCAGGCAAGGATTTTCTTAAAGCTACTTGATAATCAACAGTCGCCCAAGAAATAGCACAGCAGGAGACCATGATGGCTGCATCTATAAAACAAATGAAAAAAATTTAAAAAGATATTGTTATAGCAAAAATAATAGCAATATTAAATTACTATATGCCATACATGCTTTATCTGTGTTTACACACACCCAGAAACACATGTCAGGCACTTCATATACTCATCTCATCCAATTCTTTGATATATATTAATATTCTCATTATATATGAAGAATGCTTGGAAAATATATATTATTTGACCCAAGTTATATAGCTAGCAAGTTGCAGACAGTTGAGATTTGAATCTAAATCTGCCAAAGTCCAAAGTTACTGTACTTCACCAGTGCACTAGACTGCGTTTCAAGATTCTGAATAAATTGTACAAATTTTGAACACATCTTTTTTTTGAGGAACTGGTATAGTGAAAACTACATACTCTGGAAATTCTCTGAGATACTACAGTTATGAGCTTTGACCCTAGGCATATATCTAATTCCCTAAAACAGCATGGGGGGTGGAATTTATCATAAGTATGAGTTGAGTATCAACAAGCTCAATTCCCAGTATCTTTAAGATGATGGATCAAATAAATATGTTCTAAAAAAACTTACAAATTTCTATAGGTTTGACATCTTTACCCCATTTTTTTCTCCAACAAATAACAGAAGAATAAGTTCATTACTACTTTAGAAAGGTATGGTCATTAATCCCACTGTCAAAACTGAGGCTTTTATAAAACTATATCCAGGCTACACCTATGTTGACCAATGTGACTGTACTTTGACAAAGGGCCATGAAAAGTTAATTAATCCAGCCTTATGGATTAGAATTTTCTATCAGACGTCCTCCCTTGTGAGGACCCTGACTTTTGTTTTCAGCCATTCAACACCCTGGGAAGCCATCAAAACTGAAATCTGCTATTTACAAGGTTCTGTAAAAACCTCAGGGTATAAATGCTTTCTGAGTCCCACTCACCCCTTCTGACTTCCTACTTTAATGCATATTTTGGCCTGTTATATTAGATTGTATTATGCAGGCTTTTGAAAATATTTATCCAACACTTGTGGATATTTTCAGAGGGAGGGTTGATTCAAATAATTTAGCCTTTCAGTGGTTAAGTTGATTTGAATAACTTAAGTTTTTCATCTGCTTTCCATCTTCTAAACAGTTGTTGATATTTTTTAATTTTTTTGTTGTTGTTCAATTATAGTTGTTCCCATTTTTCCCTCATTGTTCTCCACTGCCCTGCCCACCCCCCTTCTCCCACATTCAAATTGTTGATATTTCCAATCTGTTATTCTACTCTCTTTGTTTTTGTGGATTTATATTATTTTTATTCCTTTACTCTCCTTATTAGTGTAATTTCAGGAAGGAGCAAAGATAAAAGAATATGTTCAGTCTTCTGAAGTATTTCTTCTATATGTAGCCTTATTTTTTTTTAACACTTTGAGTTATTCTTCCTGATTGTCAAAATAATACATGGTATTTGGAGAAAAAAATTGGAAATTCAGAAAAGTGCAGAGAAGATTAAATAAACTTATTCATAATCCCACTACTCATAAGCAGCCAGAGTTAACATTTTTCATATTTTATTTTAGGCATTTTTCTATATAATAATTTCTTTGTATCTTAAAAAGTATGCTAATGGAAACTTTTATACATTGCTTTTTGCCTGAATTTTATTTTAGAATTACTCTCCTATGTCATTAAAAGTTATCACTATTTCCACTGGCTACATAATTTTTTATTGTAACAGTGTACAATAATTTATTTACCAATTCTTCTATTGTTATACAATTAGATTATTTCTCACTTTTTGCTATTTTTAATTAATACCTCAACTTCTTACTTCAAGGAGAAACTAAAGAATAAGGGTAGAACCATAATATGAAGATAACAGTCACTGGATCCCATTGCTGATCTAGATGCTATGAACTATTTGAAATCATCAGCAAATCTATCATAAGACAGGCTATAAACTGAAATGTTGAACTTCTAGTTTCAGTAACTACATGACACAGAACACCTAAGTCGCAACCCACAAATTATTTGCATCACAAGGAAAAAGAGGTCTCATTCACAGTACATTCATTACAGTGTCTTTCTAACAACCAAAGTAAAAATAATATTAGAAGGGGCTACAATCTAGAGGTTTATGGGAAATTAGGAGCAGAAAGACTATTCAGGGGAATGAACTGATCTCACAGGTGAGTCTAGTATAGTGGGAAAATGAAGAAAGATGGAAATCTGGTCCTCTGAAATGAATCCAAGTCTGCATGCAACTCTAGTCATTAGTGAAAACTGAAACTATCATTTAGCAAAAAAAAAAAGTTTTTTTAACATTTCAAACACCTATTAAAAGTTTTTTAATGGAACATAATCAATAAAAGAAAAAAGCAAACAAAATATAACCAGAGACACTGAAATTAAGAACAATCTAACAATAGTCGGGGGAGGGGGCAATGGGGGGAAGGGTTTTCAGGAACTATTATTATAAAGGACACATAGATAAAACCAAGGGGCAGGGTAGGAGCAAGGGAGGGGGGTGGGTTTGGCTGGGGTGTGGGGGAGTGGGAGGGAGAAAATGCAGACAACTGTAATTGAACAACAATAAAGAAATTTATAAAAAGCTTTTTAATGGAAATACCAAACTGTCCTTTAAAATTGAATATCTTACCCTAATAAGGAGATATGCTATAATAGAGCAACCTATTGGCCAACTTTCATGAGTTCTATAGCATCTGTACTTTCACCTAATGATTCCAATTCTGGAAATTTACCCTAAGGATATATTTCAAGCATGCAAAATGACTCATGCATAAGATTATTCATTGCACCATTTTTACAATAGTAAAATACTAGAAACAACCTAAAATAACATAAAAAGGGTTTGTTAAATAAATCATGATATATCCATAATTTGTAATATTATGCAGGTAATACAAATGAGTGAGGGAGCTCTTTCTGTACTGCTATAGATAAATCTCCAAGATATACTGTTAAATGCAAAAAACAAAGACCATTTTTATCTTATATTACTATTTCTGTCAAAGAGGAGCGAGGAAGAGAGAGGGAGAGAATGAGGGAGGAACAGAGAGACAGAGAAACAGACAAAGAGAGAGAATTAATATAGACTTTTTCAAAACTTTTCTGGAAGAAGAATAAAAAAACTGACAATAGTGTCCTTTCTGGGCAAAGGAAGGAATGGGATGAAGTGGGAGGAAGAGAGCATGTCTTTATATATTTTTAAATATTTAAACCATGTACTTCTTTTTGAAAAATAAATAATTCTATAAATAAAAACAATTTTAAAATTCTAAAACCTACCAAAGAGTTATGTAGTTAACACAAGATCTCAGTGGCATCCACCTAACAAAGGTTATTAAGAAAGACTTACACTGACTGAAGTTTGCTTGACCATGTTCCAGAAAGATATAGAGCTGAAGAACAAGTTGTGGACAGCCTTCCAGGTAAGTTTCAAATAGCCTGAGCATGCTCAAATCAGTCATTCTATCTATAGCTTCTTTATGTGGATCAATTTGTTGTTCTATGAAGTTATCGGTTTTGCTGCTATATTTGAAAGCCACGTAATAACCCTTTTTCAAGGCAAACCAATACCTGTAAAGTAAACATGAACATTTATCTTCAGTAAAATATACTTTATAACATGTATGTTTACATACACATTATTTTTTTAAAGTAGCATATGTTTAAGTACAGATTTTCCCCACAAACTTTCTCTACTACAAATTTCTTCTCGTGGTTGCTTTATTGAGATTCATACTCCACAAACTTTTCTATTATCCTCACCCAAGGACATGCTTATTGGTTTTAGAAAGGGAGGGAGGGAGAGAGAAAGGGAGACAAACATCAACGTGAAAGAGAAACATCGATCAGTTGCCCCCTGTATATTGTTTTTCTTTTAGAATTGCTTTTGTTCTGGTCTGTACATTAGGGGAGTTTCACTTTTGTTTACTGACATGCATTTTTAATAGTCAAATATATAATTTTTACAGCTTATGGAATTTGATTTATGGTTAGAAAGACTTTCCCCATGCAACTTGATTTGTTTGAAATTTATCCAGTGTCTGATTATGTAGAAGTATAGTCTATAACATGGAATCTTACATTATTCCAACTCTAAAGTTAATCAAAACCTTTACTGTTTTTTTTAACCTTTACACTTCTTATGCTTCATAAATTGGCTATTGCTTCCTTTTCCATTCTGGTCTATTTCTACAATCTCTGTGTGGTCTGCCTATTTATATGGCATACAGAAAAAAAATTCTTTTCTTGTCCTTGTGATTTGGACTGGCAAGGGAAGTGCTCCTCTGGAAACAAAACTCCTCTAGTTTATCCTTTCAGATTTTCTGCTGGTCAGAAGAAAAGGAACCCATATTTTGTTACATCAAACACTGGGAGGATAAAAACATAACCTGCAAAATTTTTAAATTCTCTTAGTACCCCTCTCTACGTTTTTAACAATATACTTCTGAAAATTTCACCCTTACCACAGAACAGGCTAAATTCTTTTCAAGATCATATGCTAGGGCATGAGCTAAGTCTGACCTTCCTATGAAGGTTCAATTATAGTTTACATAACTTTTTTTCAAATGGCTACTCAGGTGTCCCAAAATACCTAACTACTAAGCAAAAAAAAACAATAAGAATATAGAATCTATGTACAACACTATCAACTACACTTACTAAATATCATTTCTAAATTACTACAACCAACCAACAACTGCAGCAGAACACATATATTTAAAGTATACATGACATCATAAAGATGAACCATATGTTAAGCAATAAAACAAGTCTAAATAAATTTCAAAATCAAAATCTTAAGAGTATGTTATCTGACCATAATGGAATTAATTAGGAATTAATATTAAAATATTTACAAAAGTTTCAAATATCTGAAAAAAATTTTAAACACAGCCTAATATTTGGGTAAAAGAGAAATCACAGGGAAAGCTAAAAAGTATTTTTAACTAATGGGTAATAAAAACATAACATATCAATTACAGTTAATGTATAAGTTTGGGAGAAATGTATAGTTTAAATGCTTTTATTAGAAATAAAAAAGAGGTAATAGTAATGATGTAAGTTCCATAGAAATGATCTAGAAAATGAGAAGCAAAGTAAACCCCAATTACATGGAAAAAAGGAAATAATAAAGCTAAAAGCATAAATCAGTGCAATAAAAAAGAGACAAGCAATAGAGAGAAATTAAAAAGCCAAAATTTGGTTCTTTGGAAAGATAAGAGAAACAGATAAACCTCAAACAAGATGCTGAAGGGTAAAGAGAAGAAGAGGAGGAGAGAACAAAAAAAGCCAGTACTAGCAATGTTAAAGGTGACATCACTAAACATCGAAACTATACTAGTGAAATAATTTTATACCAATAAATGAAAGTGTGATGAAATGGACAAAATCTCTTAAAACCACAATTTACTAACACTGACACAAGATCATTAGAAAATCTGAATAAATCTGAATTTTTCAGAGAAATCAAACTTGTTTTCAAAAATCTACACAACATTATCCAATACATTTTATCAAACATTTAAGGAAGAAAATACACCAGTCTTGCACAAACTCCTTCAGAAAATAAAGCAGGAATACTTGCCAATTTCTATTAGCAGGCTAGCATAAAACTAATCTAAAACTTATAAGAGATATACAGGAAAAAATTATAAAACAATATACCTCATGGACACAAAAATGCTTAATTGAAATATTTAAAAATGGATTTCAGCAATGTATAAAAAATAATAATCATCCCTGGCTGGTGTGGCTCAGTGGACTGAGCTCTGGCCTGTGAACCAAATGGTCACCAGTTCAATTCCTAGTTAGGGCACATGCCTGGGTTGCAGGCCAGGTCCCCAGCTGGGGGCACTCAAGAGGCAACCACACATTGATGTTTCTTCCCCTTTCTTTCTCCCTCCCTTCCCCTCTCTCTAAAAATAAATAAATAAAATCTTTAAAAATAAAAACAACAATCATCATCATCATCATCGTCATCATCATCAATTAAGGTCTACCCCAGCAATGCAAAGTTGTTTTAACAGCATTAAATCATTCAGTAAGGCTAGACTCTCTGTCCTCTGCCATCATGGGTCACATGCATGTTCCTGGAAAGGACCAGTCCCAGTGGCTGTGCCCTACCACCACAGCATCCCCACCTGGCTGAAATTGACATCTGATGACATGAAGAAGCAGATCTACAAACTGGCCAACAAGGGCCTGACTCCCTCACAAATTGGGGTGATTCTTAGAGACTCGCATGGCACTGCACAAGTACGTTTTGTGATAGGCAATAAAATCTTGAGAATTCTTAAGTCCAAAGGACTTGCTCCAGATCTTCTTGAGGATCTCTACAATTTAATTAAGAAAGCTGTTGTTGTTCAAAAGCATCTTGAGAGGAAAAGAAAGATTAAGGATGCTAAATTCCATCTGATTCTGATTGAGAGCTATATTCACTGTTGGCTCAACATTGTAAGACTAAACGAGTCCTCCCTCCCACCTGGAAATACAAGTCATCCACAGCCTCTGCTGAGGATGCATAAAATGTCTGTACTCAAGCAATAAAACTATTGTTTAACTGAAGAAAAATTTTAAATTAAAAAAATAAATGAAAGAAAGAATGAATCAATGAAAAACCATGTGATCATCTCAATAAGCACAGATATATTTGACAAAATTCAACATCCACTCATAATAACAAAAAAAAATCTCAAGAATATTAAAAGAGGAGGAAATCTCTTTAATTTGATAAGAAAAATGATGAAAAACCTACAGGTAACACCAAACTTCATGGCAAAACATTCAACACTTTACTCCTGAGATCAGAACAAATCAGAAATGTCACTCTCATCACTTCTATTTAATATTTTACTGGAAGACTTAGAGAAATTAAACAACGTGAAAAAATAAAAAGAATAAATATTTTAAAGGAGAAAATCAAACTATTACTATTTGCAAATGACATGATAATTGACACAGAAAGTATGAAGAAAACAATCAAAAACTAAAAACTAATATAAATAATGAGTCCATCAGGTCTGAGAAAATGTTATTAAAAGAAATCAATTGTTTTTCTATTCCATGGAAGCAAACAATTGAAAAATGAAATTTAAAAGGCAATGCTAATTACAATAGCTGGTAAACTGATTCTAATATTTATATGAAAATATAAACCCTCTAAAATAGCCAAAACAATGATGAAAAAGAACATAAGTAACAAATACATGACTTCAAGAGTACATGACTTGACTTCTAGTTTCAAGTCTGTCATAAAAGGGGATTTAGAAGTTGCCATTTCTTCCTAACAAGTAAAAACTAAACCAAAAAAACCAACAACTTATACCTGACAGAGGAGTAAGGGCACAAGGCAAATTGTTTCCCCCAAAATTGGAGATACATACAGATGGATACAAAGAATCATAAATTTCAGAAGGAGAAAACCTCAAGAAATCCCCTTAAGAACTAGTGCCAAACTAGATAAACTTGAACTATAATTGATGAATTGTTGGAAGCAAAGTGTGGATAAGTCTGTTAGTTAAAAACTTGAGCAGGGACCCTGGAGCTCTGACTCTCACAATAAAGATGGGGAAAAAGGCATCCAGCACACATAAATGAAAGTAGCCATTTTGAAATACACCGAAGCTGTATTTCACCATAATATCAATGTGAAATACAGCTTTGGTAGGGATGGGACTGAGAGGCATTTGGGATGTCTACAGACCAGGAGTAAAGGCTCACTAAAAGACTGAGACCTATCATAGGACTGTAGTATTCCTCCCACACTTCACCACCATATTACTCAAGGCCTATTTACCATAGTTCCTTTCACTCAATACAATAAATTCTCACTTTCATTAATAGATTCTTATAACTGAAGTGAAATGACATGTCAAAACCAATTTTCCAGTTGGCCCATTGATATAAACAAGAGTTAATTCCTATGGTGGTATCTCATCAACATTATAACAAAATGACATTAAGCATAATGACATTATTTAAGGACCTGCATACATCATGGCCGATTTTCAACAAAAATTACCAGACATACTTCAAATCATAGTTTGAAGAGACAGAGCAAGCATCAGAACCAGACTCAGAAATGGCAAGGATGTTGGAGGTAGGAGAATATGAATGTAAAACAACTATAATTAATATGCTAAGGACTATTATGAAAAAAAATAGACAACATGCAAAAACAAATGGTTCATGTAAGAGAGATGGAAATTCTAAGCAAGAATCAAAAAGAAATTCTAGGGATCAAAAATACTATAACAAATGAAGAATCATTGATGGACTTATTAGACTGTACACAGCTGAGGAAAGAATCTCTGAGCTACAAGATATCTCAATGGAAACCTGCAAAACTGAAAAGTAAAGAGAACAAAGACCAAAAAAAGTAACAGACTATCCAAGGACTGTGTGACAACTACAAAAGGTACAATATACATGTAATGGAAAAGAGTAACAGGAGGAAAAGAAAAAAGGGAAAGCAACAGAAGCTGTGTTTGAAATGGTAACAACTGATAATTTCCCTAAATTAATGTCAGACACCAAATGAGTTATCCAAGAAGCTCACAGAACACCACAAA